ACATCATAAAATCAATTTATGAACCAGTAACATTTTTACCATGTTAAAGTAATCTTGACGTAAAAAAAAAACGTTTGGAATCCTTGATCTATACCTTTGTAATTAAATATTATTTATAATTGTTAATTCAATTTGAGTTTAGTATTAGCTTTTCCTTTCGTTTGTAAGGCAAGTGGCATGGAGGAGAGATATCTCATGGGCTCTGAGAGTGCCTGCCACTGCGTGGCTCCAGCGTCTTCTTGGTCTACCTCTCGCTCTCCAGCCAGAGTACCTGAGGGTGTATGCTCGTAGGGCTGGTTGGTTAACAGGCATACGAGTGAGGTGTCCGAACCAGCTGATGCACTTGCCTCCCAAAGCCCAAATCCTCGTCCTCGTCGTGGGTGGTAGAAAAAGTTAATGCTTGCCAACGGGGCACTGGTGAAGGTGAGACTGACTTAGCAGGCCGACAGTGGATAAAAATTGCCCATGGAAACAAAAGTAATTCAATATTATTATATATAATATATATATATGATTATTATAATATATATATATATATATATATATATATATATATATATATATATATATATAAAGGAAATATGTTGTAGTGGTTCCAACGAGAGAAAAGTATGTATATTAAAAAGAAGAGGGGTGCTGCAAACGTTTTTGGTTGTAATGTGGATTTATTGAGAAAAAATATTATACTTTGTTTTACATAATTTCACGACACGTGTTTCTGGTCTGGTCTCGCAACCGTCTTCAGGTGAAAGTGGAGATTAACTACTCGCTGGACAAACCATAATTGTTTTATGACCCTTCACGCAGAACTCTTCATTGACAATTCTAGAAAGAAAATTCGGATTGCCAACACACAAACAGAGTGTCTCATATCGAGAATATTCCACATTGAACGTGAAGAAAAATTAATTATTTTTAATAATATGTAAAAATCTCCACTTTCACCTGAAGACGGTTGCGAGACCAGACCAGAAACACGTGTCGTGAAATTATGTAAAACAAAGTATAATATTTTTTCTCAATAAATCCACATTACAACCAAAAACGTATGCGGCACCCCTTCTTTTTTTATATATATATATATATATATATATATATATATATATATATATATATCAAAAAAAAAAGAAAGAGCCAGATTTATAATCCAGTTCTTTAGCATTTATTTTTAAAAACAGTGCTCGATACACAGTATGACATAATATTATTAATTATTATTAAAAAATATGTATTCATTGTGACACAGAAATTATGATGTTTCGCAACCAATTATTCAGCATCGCTTGAAAATGACCTGAACTTCAAATTTTAAGTTTAATTTAAGAATTAGATTTTGATTTCGAAACATAGTAATTTCTAGAATTAATAGAAAAACAAAATTTGTCATTTAGCCGATTGAACAGTATTTACATTAGTCGGACTATTGTCCTCATCTTTGTCGCCATATTTGTCACAACCTTTCGGCCGTTGTACGCTCCGGCCTTCTTCAGGTGGTTGGAATTTCGAACTGAACCCTTTATTTCGATCACTGGGGTAGACTGTTCTAGTTCCACGTGCCATGTTTGATGGATGTCAGTTATCAGTTATCTCCTGCTAATTTTCCCTCTGAAAGTTCTCCACTGCCTTAACATCCAGTGACAGACCCAAAGAAGGTGAGTTCAATACCTGGTTAACTACCCCAGTGATCGAAATAAAGGGTTCAGTTCGAAAATTCCAACCACCTGAAGAAGGCCGGAGCGTACAACGGCCGAAACGTTGTGACAAATATGGCGACAAAGATGAGGACAATAGTCCGACTAATGTAAATACTGTACATAATACCTCATCTCAGAAATATAGACAGACTCTAGCCGATTGAAGTTGTTTTTCAGCATCTCGACTCTAGAGTTTCGTAGACGGATAGCTGATATCTCCTGACGAGTGAACGGAGCGAATGCTGGTGCGTCCGTCTACGAAACTAACATTAATCACTGAAGTTACAAAAATTTATATTAATTATATATATATATATATATATATATATATATTTAATTAATTCATCGAGTCTGATAGAAACCTCTACAGAATGCACTGGACGGCCGTTTCGTCCTATATTTGGGACTCATCAGCAGTGCGCATCCACTACCGAGAATTGAAACCCTGACAGTTAGGTTGTTAAGCTGACATCATACCAACTGTTCCAAGTGGGCCGCGGTGACGAAGAGATTCCAAATCAGACTCAACTAAGCGCCGCTCGCTCACATATTCCGTGGCGGAACTCAACTGAGTTCTCTGTGACCATAGGACTGTGCCCCCGGGAGCCACGACTACTCTCACCAAGCCGCTACTCTCATATATATATATATATATTATTCATATATCCCTTTCTAATTAACGTCTAATTGCCATCTATGATTTTATAACCGTCGTTCAACAACCGTCTATACCAACTGCAGTTTAATTATTTTTTATGACTCTTGGTAAATAATCATCTCTATTTATAATATAGAATCATCTATGTCGTTATAACGCTCAAGGTGAGGAGACCTTGGCGTGGTTTAATGGTTGGCAGTTTTGCCTTGCAAGGTCAATTATGACGGAATGGTGAGTTCGTTCGATCCTCACTAGGTGCCACAAACCTTCGACTTTGTTCCATGTCTAAGTTACACTTAGAAAATTGTTATGACCCTAGAAGTTTTCAATATGGAGTCACTTATGTAATACCTGCGTTAAAATTTAATTATGGCTTGAAATGGAGCATTTTTTTTTTACTGGTAAGCGCTGAGTGATCTTACTTTTTTTTTTATTTTGTAGAACGCATTCACTCGAGATTGGCCGAGGCGTTAAATCAATATCGATTTTGTGTGATGTCCATTTTCTTTGTCTTTATTGAATGGATTCTGAGAAAACTCACCTGTTTCCTGCAGCCAATCGTTGCTGCCATTGCCAATACAAATGACAATTTCAGGTTTTTCTTGCTTTTCTTTCTTCATATTATTTTAATCCTCTTTGTGTTTTTTTCTTTTCTTTCATCATTATTTTATTCTTTCTTTTTTAAGCCTTTTTTCGTTCTTTCTTTCTATTAGTCATTATTTAGGGGTATTTTTTTTCTTCTTTTGGCTAATATTTCGTTATTATTGTCATTATTTATTTGTTTCTTTCCTTTGGTCTTCATTTCTTTTCTATCTTTATTTATTTTGTTCATTATTTCTTTCTGTTTTTCTTTCTTATTTTTTTATTTCTTTTGTCTAATATTTCGTCCTTTTTTTTTCTTTAGTCCTTTCTTTCTTTCTATTTGTCATTATCCCGTTTTTTTCTTTTTTTTCTTTATTTCTTTCTTTCATTCCTTTGTTCATTATTTCGTCCTTTCTTTTGGTCATTATTTCGTCTTTCTTTCTTTCTTTCTTTCTTTCTTTTGATCAATATTTCATTCTTTTATTCAGTCATCATTTCGTCCGGACATTTTTTTGATCATTGTTTCTTTTTCTTTTTTATTTTAATCGTTTTGACAATTATTTCGGTCTTTCTTTCCTTTGGTCATTATTTCTTTCTTTCTTTCCTTTGGTCATTATTTCTTTCTTTCTTTCTATCATCTTTTGGACATTATTTCTTTCTTTCTTATTATTTCGTTCTTTCTTTCCTCTTATCATTATTTCCTTCTTTCTTTCTTTTGGTCATTATTTCCTTCTTTCTTTCCTTTGGTCATTATTTCCTTCTTTCTTTCCTTTGGTCATTATTTCCTTCTTTCTTTCCAACCGTCATTATTTCATCCCTTTTCTTCTTCTTAATCGATGTTTTTCTTTCTGTGTCTTTTTCTTTTCCTTTGTTTATTGCCTCCATCTTTTTGTACGCATTCACTTGGTTTTCAGCAAACGAGACGGCCCTGGGCGTCGGCAAGGTATTGATGACGTAAGAATCAAGAAGGAATTTTTTGCTCTCTGTTTAGTGTACCTTTAGGGGCCTCATAAAAGAGGTGACGTTTATATTTATTTATTCATTGAGGACATTTTCCGACCTCCACACCCCGAGTTTACTAACTCCACGTTTATTAATTTCAGCGAACAATAATTATTATAATTGGTTCAGGTCTTTATTAACACGCTTTTATAAGTTGTACAAGCAGGCTATTATATTTTAATGTTTTGAGAGCAACCTCCTTCCCAGGATGTTTCGCCCATTCTAATAAGTTGACGATGCACGGATGTACTTTTGATATTTAAAGGCTTTTTCGTGTTATGTAAAGCCAGAAAATACTTTTACATGGTAAGAATTTATTTGGAGATAAGAACGATTTACTGATACACGTCCTACTAATTAATCCATAGCTGGGGGAGAAAATGAAGAAAATGATTTAAGTCGAGATGCCAGGTCAAGATTTATTGCATTACAGACCCGTTTTTGAATACTGTCAGGAATCTTGAGATATATACTATAAGCACCAGACCAAATATCACCAAACTTCAAATCAGTGCAAATTGATTCGTTTTTTTACGGTTTGTCAAACTTTTGCAGTTTATTTAAAGCCAGAAAGTATTTTAAGAATTAAAAAAAAATAATAATAATGACCTACTCACATAAGTCTTACTAGTTAACCCATAGCTGGAGGAATAAGAGGTGGATGCATACCTTTACCAAGAGTATTTTCGCGCAAGTGAATGGAATTGGGACTCGGCTTTATGATTAAGAATTCTCTGGAGAAAATTAAGATCTACTAATACAAGTCTTACTAATTAACCCATAGCTGGTGGAACAAGAAGTGGATTCATTCTTTTCCCAAAGGTATTTGCTCGTAAGTAAATATTACAAACCCAACTGGAATTGGAACTCAACTCTCTTTCAATTGTGAGCCGTTATCCATCATACCGCGCGCACATCGAAACTTACAGATCTTGCTATTCCCAAGCGGAGACCCATCTATGTACTGACCAAGGTCGACGTTTCTTAACTGCGTTGATTATACGAGAACTTGTATTTCAATGTGTTGTGGCCATAAGTCCATTATGCCATCTGCACATCCAGGCTTATAGCACCCGTTATTTCCAAGCGGTCACCCATCAAGGTACTAACCAGGCTCGACGTTGCTTAACTTTGGGGATCTTACGAGAACTGACATTTCAACGTTATGTGACCGTAACTCACTGAATTCACTCAATAGACATATATTACACACGAATATTCATCGGCTCACTTTATGCAATTGTATTTGTGATTTTACACACACGAACACGTCCGTACAGACGGAACGATACTTTGAGATGTAGGTGTGAGGAATCTATGAATGTTAATATCTTCTTTTGTTTCTCCTTTGTATCGAGTCTCTTGATATTTACAAAGTTTGACCGCGTAAATATCAATAGTTTTCCCGCTCGGCTAAATCGCAGGAAATACGGGTTAGAAGTTTATGATGTGCCAATCCTCAAGCCGAAGAGATCTTCCGTTCTTTGAAAATGAGCATTATCAGAAATCTCTTGATATATATATATATATATATATATATATATATATATATATATATATATAAAGTGCTGATGTAAATAAAAATAGTGGTCGATGTAAAATAACAGAGCTATAAGTAAGTTATATATTAAATATTTTTTTTCCTTACAAGTAGAACGACTTTGAGTTTCACATAGAGTCATATATATATATATATATATATATGTGTGTGTGTGTGTGTGTGTGTGCGTGTGTGTGTCTGTGTGTGTGTGCATGTATGCATATTAAGAAATATAGATATATTACATTAATTGCGCCATTAATTGCAATAATCTTATACCTACCTATATTTACCCATTCGATTATATATATATGTAGATATGTATGTATGTATGTATGTATGTATATACACACTACATTCAAAACTTTGAGAGGTTACTCCTGCTAATTTTTTAAATTGTTCCAAAAAGTAGTTTTTTGGTAATTTAAATAAGAGCGCATTATACATTTTTTTTTTAAAGTGGGACATGATTTTTTATTACAAATTTTGTTATACCAAAAAAAAAAAGGATTTTATGATTAAATTTTGCTCTCGTCAAAATATCCTCCTTTAACCTTGATTCTGACATTCGTTGCAAAAGTTTTGTCAAATCATAAAGTATCGATGGTGAATTCCATGATAATCGGAGGTGACGGGATCGAAAGCGTCGTCCTAAAGAAATGTGCTCCTGAGCTGGCTCCAGTTTCTCTCCAAACTCTACAACTATTGCCTCACTGCTTCCTGCTTCTTGGAAGTCCTCCTCTGTAGTTCCTGTTTTTAAGAATTCAGTAGAAACTTCTGACGCCTCTAACTATCGCCCTATTAGTCGCCTACCGCTTTTCGGCAAAGTATTCGAGGCTTTAATCAATGCTGCAGTGGTTAAGCATATTACCTCTTCCTCTGATAAACAATATGGCTTCCGTTTTGCTAGGCCTACCGCTGATGTGCTAACGGTCATCACTGAATATGTATATCAAGCGCTTGATAATAACGGCGAAACTCGATCTGTGGCGCTGTATATCTCGAAAGCGTTTGACAGGGTTTAGCAAGCTGATCTTCAATGTAAGCTCCGAGGCTATGGTATTACTGGACGTTTGTTTCATTTAATCCAATCATTCCTGTCAAATCATGAAATGAAGGTCATTTTGAACGGAAGCGCTTCCAGATTCTTTCACACGAACGCTGGTGTCCACCACGGTTTTATCCTGGCTCCTACACTGTTTCCGATCTTCATCAATGATCTTCCTCGTGTCATCAGTTCCCAAGTGGATATTTATGCTGATGGCATTACCATTTAATCCTTTTTTCACTGGGAAATTGGTCAGAGTTGATTGACAAAGTTAACCTGGCTGTTGTTCTTGAAAAGGACCGCCAATCAGTGGACAGGAAATGTCTTGTAAATTTTAATGTCTCCAAAACGAAACTGCTTTCAATTAATCACCATAGAGAAACTTTCCTTCCCACCATCAGCATGGCTGATGCTAGACTCGTGGAGAGCAACACACCACGCCTTCTTGGCCTCACGTTTTCAACTGACTTGAATTGGAGTGACGACATTGAATCAATAGCTGCATCTACTGCAAGGAAAGTTGGGTCACTGTGTTGTGCCAGAAATTTTTTTCTAAACAGAGTCCGTCTTTCACATTTACAAATCTATCATTCGGCCGTGCATTGCATACTGCTGCCATATCTGGTCAGCTGCTTCTGCTATACATCACAAGGTTCTTGACAAAATCTAAAGAACGATAGGCGAATTGTGAAGCATGTTTTATCGTCCATCTTGCACATTTACAAATCTACTATTCGTCCGTGCCATATCTGGTCAGGTAGTCCTGCTAATCATCTCGAGGCACTTGACAAAATCCAAAGAATCGATTCTGGCTTGGCATCTCGACTTCAGTTACTTTCTCACCGGCGTGACGTGGCTTCCCTCTGTCTTTTCTACAAATATTTTCATGGCTACTGCTCTGGAGAGATTTTTACCCTGGTTCCCGGACCACGTGAGTGTAAACTTGCTACTAGATTGGCATCTACGCCTCATCAGTTTGCTGTTGAATTAGTTAAATGTAACCGCCTCTTCTACACCAAAAGTTCCTTTTCTCGCACTTCCCGCCTGTGGAACTCCTTTCCGTTTCCTTGCTTCCCTGATAACTACAATCTTCAAAAATTTACATGCAACGTCAATCGCCCTCTCCTATCGTCTTGAAACCCGTTCAGATTTTATCGGTACTTCGGTCTCCCCTATAGCCAGTCTTTTCCCTCACCTTCACTCTCTGTAACCCCCTGCGTAAGGTGGCATTCCCGCTTTGCTTGAGGTGAAATTATTTAAAAAAAAAGAAAGTGTAGTGGAAACGAAAGACCGCCTTCACAAAAGTATTCACACATGCCTTGCACGTAAAGTATCCAGAAAAGAAAATGTCCGCCCCCATGAGTTAAAATATTTAAAGAAAATAAGGTCTTTTTGAGATATATGAAGTAGATCCTATATAACGCGAAACTAAATTACTGTGGAAACTTCTGGCTTCGTAAACTGGTGAATTGTTTGGGCTGTTGTCGCTGATGTGACTCTGAAGTAGTTCTAAGCTATTGCCGCTAAAGCGAATTGCTCGTGAATTGCTTATGAACTTGTTTGTCACTGGCGTTAGAAACTTTTTCAATCATTTAGCTGCATTAAGAATCAACAAAATTTCGTTAGAAACAAAGAAAAGATTACTGAACTGTTATGTAATATCGGTCCCACGATATGGCAGCGACCACTGGACAATTTTTGCACGAGTAGAGACGAGAGCTGAGGTAACAGAAATGTGATTCAGCACAAGGATACTGAATCGAACATGGGAGCAATGACGAAGTTATAGTGAAACTAGAAACAAAAAAGCTAATTATAATAAGAGTCGAGGCAAATTATATTAGGTTGGTGCAAAAATAATGACGTAAGAATGTCGTTTTTTGACGTTAAAAAATACGTCAAAAAACGACATTATTGCGTCATTATTTTTGCACCAACCTAATATTTCTAAGAAACATAATAAGCAAAGAGTGATTGAGGAATATGATACTCAGAGGATACAATTAAGGCAAGGGAATTGGAGGAAGTTGCGAATAGCGTACCTAACGAACTTATCTAAAACACTGACAGAACAGGAATTCTGACAGACAGATTTTGATGTAATGCAATAGCCTGTCACCCCCAACGCGGCCTTGTGCCACATACGACCCGCGTGGCGGGGGGGGTTTAAATATTCCAGCTGAAATCTTTTTAGCTGTGAACTCACTGCCTTCGAGCAGAGAGGAACCCGGTGGAGGCTATGCCGAAGGGCAGAGTCTCGTTCGGGGAGGCAGACCCTGAACCCGTTTATACGGGTTCGAAGGGAATATTTTTGGCCGAGTCCGTAGGCTCGGAAAACCCACAATAAACTCAGCCTTGTGCCACATACGACCCTCGTTGCTGTTAAATATACCAGCTGAAATCTTTTCAGCTGCGATGGTCGAACTCTCTACCTCCAGAGAGGAACCCGGACGAGCTATGCCGAAGGGCGGGGTCTCGTTCGGGGAGGTAGCCCGACCCGATCTCGTTTATGCGGAGTCTACGGGGATATTTTGGACGTGCCTACGGGCTTGGGAACCCCACATTAAATTCGGCCTTGTGCTACATGTGGAGCAGTTGCTAGATACTCTAGCTGGAATCTTTTTCGGCTGTGCTGGTCAAAATCTCCGCCTCTGAGCATAGAGGATCCCGAGACGAGACTGCCCTTCGGCATAGCCTCGTCTGGGGATCCTCTCTGCTACCCTACCCCGTATTATACGGGATCTACGGGAAATTTTAGCTGAGCCTACGGGCTCGGATGCCCCACATTAAAACCGGCCTGGTGACACATCTGATCGCGTGGGGAGGTTAGTAAATACACTAGCTGAAATATTTTTTAGTTTTGCTGGTCGAACTCTCTGCCTTCGGACAGAGAGGTACCCGGATGAGGTTAGGCCTAATAGTTTCTTCTCACGCAATTTTTTTTTTTCTGGAAATCTCTTGATCGTTTATTGATCTTCAAAATTGTAAATGCAATATCAATCACCATACTCTACCTTTCTGAATCCTGATCGTTTATTGTTTTATTGGCCTTACCCTCAATAAGGTTTTCTTTATTTTTTTACCTCCCCCTTTATCGCTTTTTATAGTGGATTTAAATGATTTTCTTGGACAAACACACACACACACACACACACACACACACACACACACACATACATATATATATATATATATATATATATATATTAATTTCAATAAAGGTGCAATTAATTTACAAATTCATGAATTATTCATACAAAAACAAATACAAAGGTTAATGATTTAATTGGCGAGAAATCCATCGTCGCGAACAATTCAAATAATATACAAAACCCTGAACCTGTTATGAATGAAAAGATCCTTGTTGATATATATATATATATATATATATATATATATATATGTATGTATGTATATATATATAATGTATATTTTAGTGAATACTCATATTTGAGTAGACGCTGCGTATATTAATTTAATTTCGTCTACCGAACAGAATATTCGAGAAATCTTATATATATATATATATATATATATATATATATATAGAAAAAATGGAAAAAGATTTTTTTGCCGTTAACAATAA